CAGAGTTGGTCCTGATCGTTTTTGTGATCCATTTTAAGGTATTTATTGAACCACTGTCAGCTTGCAAAGACAAATCTATCAGTGAGACATTTCTTTTGTGGTTCAGTATATGTTTATTAGTTTTCGATTTAGATTGCAATTCATCGGTTCGCTTTTGAGCCAAACGGACTATAGTATATACTTCCTCAATGCTCCTCTAGTGTGACACACGCCGAAGACCCGGGTTCGATTCCCAAAATGGGTACAATGTGTGAAGCCCACTTCTGGTGTCCCTCGCCGTGATATTGCTGGAATATTGCTAAAAGTTGCGTAAAACCAAACTCAGTCAGTCAGTATAAATATCAAGGTATGCATCAAAGTGACACATTCCGCAATAGTTTTATACCAACAGTGCTTTCCTTCGGCTAGTGTTTGTTGTGTTTTCTGTTTTTCACAGGGTCTTGTAAAGAACTGGCGTTAAGGTATAGATGTATATTGTAACTGCCGGGGCCTCAACTCACAACGGAGACGACAACTACATGTATAATGTGTGCTAGAATCCCGTCAATGACAACATATACCTTGATGCCATTTTTTTATGCCGATGGTCCGGGTTCGATTCCATACATGGGTACAATGTGTGAAGCCCATATCTGGTGTCACCCGCTCTGATATGGCTTGAATATTGCCAAAATCGGCGTAAAACCACACTCACTCACTCACTCTCCTGATCTTAATAAACACATTACACGTGTGTCGACACTCATGTCATGCTAAAATAAATACAAAAAATTTAATTAGAGATTGATTATCCGAAATTTACTGCCCGATCAGTTTTCACAGTAGTTATTAACAAAACGCAAATCACACGTATAAAAGTTATGGTTGGGTTTAATAAAACTAGATCGTTGTACGTAATATCCCATTACTCAAATATATATTTCACTAGTTCAAGTTAGGACGGGTCATATGTCCCAGGGTATGTTTGGTGGGTGTTGGTTGGTTTGGTTGGTCACACATCCGCAACAAACAAGCAATTAAAACACAACAAACATGTTGAATGAGAGAGTGAGTGAGTGAGTTGTGTTTTACGCCCCTTTTAGCAATATTCCAGCAACATCACGGCGGGGGACACCAGACATTGGCTTCGCGCATAGTACCAATGTCGGGAATCGAACCCGGGTCTTCAGCGTGACGAGCGGGCGCTTTAACCACGAGGCTACCCCACCGTCCCAAACAAACAAACATGTTAAGATTGCGTTGCATATCTAATTCTTTTGAGATATATATGCTGCGTTGCATATCTTATTCTTTTGGTCACAGCGATGAGGACATGAGGAGTTCATGCCCAAGTGCGATAATGCAGTTAAGATATCAAAGGCTACCCCACCGCCCCGATGTGTGTATGTGTGTGCGTGTGTATGCTTCTGAGGGGCGGTGGGGTAGTCTAGTGGTTTAAGCGTTCGCTCGTCACGCCGAAGATCCGGGTTCGAATCCCCACATGGGTACAACGTGTGAAGCCCATTTCTGGTGTCCCCCGCCGTGATGTTGCTGGAATATTGCTAAAAGCGGCGTAAAACCAAACTCAGTCAGTCAGTCAGTATGCTTCTGAGAACAGTGAACATTAATTAAATGTTCCTTACGAGGAGCGTCTTTTAGCCACGTTGTGCTGAGGAGTCCATGAGTCCACTGATGCAGTTATGGCAGTAAATGTTAAGTGTAGTATTATCAAGAGGAATTACGACAGCATCCCAAGCGGCTATATCCCTTACATCCTGTTTGCGACTTGTGTTAACCTAGTTCTATTAAGTCAGCGCTTATCAAGCGATAAGATTACACATACTGGATATACAAGGAGTATATTTGTTCCTGGCTTGATTGAATTTCACTTCATTGTAACAGAAAGTATGTTAACTGACATACGGGTAAGACGCACACACAAAAACGCACTCGCATTGTACATTGTGAAAGTTTGTTTATTTCCGTACATAGTCAACGTTATCGTATTATCAGAGCTTGAAGCACACATGTGGCCAAGCAGTTGATAACATGTTTAATATATGACAACATTACTGGTTTAATATCTGTGCTATTGAGAGATATAATATAAATTGACGAAAAAATACAATTTTTATTAAAAAAAACACAATCTAGTTAAAAAAAGACACAAAAGGTATGGATGCATGACGTAACATGTACTGAAAAGATAAAAATCTCAACGAATGTCACCGTGATGGACAAGGACCCGTCACGTCAATAACGTGTATGACAACCCAATGTCAACCGTCTGATGACGGTAGGTGAGATACGTCGCCATTCTGTTTAGTGTTTAGTCCAATCATTAGCACCATTGTAAAATAGACATTCCATACAGAAAAGATATTCTGACTTAATACCAGGGACAATACAAGAAGGACATAATCTTTCAGTTCGGACTAAACCTATATTCTCCAATTAACAGTATATGAACTTTGCCAAATGCAATACGACAGGCTGGTACTGTTACCTTCGTCAAATAAATTTTCAATCTTTATACCACTGCACATTTCACGTTTAATGAAGCGAGCAATATGTTCAAGCCAAAGTTGATTACGATGGAGACACACAATCAGACAAAATATACTTTATATCACCTGAAGTTCTGGTTCATTCATAACAGTCTTGCAGCAACTAGTTGCAAAATTGCTGATGCGGCATTAAGCAATACTCACTTACCTGACATGATTCATAGACTATTTCCCTACCCAACACTTAACTATCAAACTGGCTTAGAACTGGTCTTCAGTAACCCATGCTTGTCGTTAAAAGGCGACTAACGGGATCGGGTTGTCAGGTCGCTGACTTGCCATACGCCATCGTATCCCGGTTGTGTATAGACCGATGCTCATGCTGTTGATAACTGGATTGTTTGGTCCAGACTCGATTATTTACAGACCGCCGCCCTATAGCTGGAATATTGCTGAGTGGGGCGTTATACAACAAACAAACAAACTTAACTGTCCTCATATACTGATTAACCCGAAGAGAGAAGCGGACCAACCAACCTTTAACTACTATTATTAGGTGTGGTTCTAACGAAGTTCAGAATATCTTTGCAGAAACTGTATTTGCAGCAGAGGTTATTCTGTCTACACTTTGAATTGTCGTCAAAGAGCAGACCATTGCATATTCATATTACAGAATGTTTGCAAAAATCTAGAAGTCGGTATTCACAATAGGGGGGTTGTGGGGAAGTCTAGTGGTTAAAGCGTTCGATTCCCTACATAGGAACATTGTGTGAAGCCCATTTCTGGTGTACCGTCGTGATATTGCTGGAATATTGTTAAAAGCGGCGTAAAACTAAACTCATTCACTCACTATTCATAATAACATCTTATGAAGCACTCAGTGAAATGGTGTCCTCGCTGTTACAGTTGACGTCCTCATCGATCGGAGTATTTGGGATCGTCATTCACAATATAGTCGGAAAGTGAAAAATGAGAGAGAGTGAGCATTTTTTACGCCGCTTTTAGCAATAGTGTCCAGTAATATCAGGGCGTGGAAAACTAGAAATGGGCTCTACACGTTGTACTCATGTGCGGAATCGAACATGTGGGGAGCAAACACTACAACCACTTGGCTACCCCACCGGAGGTAAAGATGTCAGGGCATTAAATTTAAAGTTCCTTATGTATTATGACATGAAACCCTATATACCTAACATTATCGACTTCCATAACACTAAACAGGCTTTCCAGAAAGTAAACACTGAATCCATCAGGATAGTCTGTCTCACAGTCCCTTAACCACATTATTTTCCCTTCTGCCAAGCCCTTTCTGCAGTGCTAAAGCCCTAAATGAAGCAAGTCTAGATTTCCTCAGGTTCAGAATCTCTGGTCTCCCTGGGGCTCCTTTTGAATTTAAATGCATGGTTTGGTCGTTACTATCAAAATTATATATATATTCAGAGCCTAAGCGTTTGTCTACCACCAGGAGAGCAGTATCTATAATATCAGCATAATACCGTTCTCTCCATAATTCATAAACAAAGGGGGCGGTGGGGTAGCCTAGTGGTTAAAGCGTTGGCTCGTCACGCCGAAGATCCGGGTTTGAATCCCCACATGGGTACAATGTGTGAAGCCCATTTCTGGTGTCGCCCGCCGTGATGTTGCTGGAATATTGCTAAAAGCGGCGTAAAACCAAACTCAGTCAGTCAGTCAGTCATAAACAAAGTGAAATGAAAAACGACCATACAATAAGAATATATGTTTATTGTATGGTCTCTGGTTAAATATAGATGTAAATTCAGTCAAAAATAATCAGAAAAATTCAAACAGCACCGTGAAGCTGGTGTAGTTTCGGTTTGATATAGCCATATAGATCACTGTTGCTTTTTCCAGGAAAGCAGGATGTATTCAACAATCGAGCGACTGGCTATTGCGACAGCCATTCAAATTCAAATGACGCATTGGGGCAGGCGAGCTGTTTCGCGGTCACAGCATACGTGGACTGCTTTTTGTAATCAATATGTATCATCATTTATATTTTACTCAAATATCAACGACAATGAGATAATATAATATACATATTTGCATAAATGTATGGAATCGACAAATACGAAAGATTAGCTTGAACATCGTTCTCAATATTGCACAACTGACACCCGCCATGTTTTCGACCTCCGAAAATACAAAACTGGTTTTTCCACGCAATCCATGTCGCTTAGGACGAGGGGAGATAACTTTGAAGGGAAAATGGCGAATTTAGTAGATATCTCCTTGAATTGAACGCACGCTAACAAACTGAAGGAAGAATATGTGAGAATGACCTCAAATAAACTGAACTTATTCGTCTCACGTGATAAAAACCCGTGAAACACCTATTGTGCCTTGCGCAATATGGCGACTCAGTCTCGCTGAAATGAATATTTTCTATTTATATCTGCCACGTAAGTCCCTAATGCACCGGGGGAATCCCCAATTATTCGGAATACGTAGTTTTGATTGGCTGCACGGCGTCACGTGTTCCTGGGACTTTCCCTCCTGCTCAGGTCGGTGCTTTCCTGAACCATGTTTCCTTGGGAATTTACATTTGCTGAAATTACAAACTTCGTCCATGGTTCGATTCAAGAGGGAATTGGATTTGAGGGTGTCCCTCCTCAACAATGACAGCTACTTTAGTTGAATTTCCTACAAGTTTCCACAAACGAGAGTGTTTTAGAAGCGTTATTTCCACCAACATGGAGGTTGACATCGATGCGAAGGAGTTAGCGGACAGAATGGCGGCCGCTGAGGCAATGTCTACCCTGTCGTCTGTTGCGCGCGTGAACCCTGGGGATTCCCCCGCCTCTCCTCGGACTTCAAAAAGGATTGCTAGCAGAGGGACGCGAGGTGGAGGTAAAGGTAGGGGCAGAAAAACAAACCAAGGGGACAAAATCCCGAATTCAGAAGCGAAAAAATCTAGGTCACGTGTCAGGACAAATCATGACACGACAAAAAGCAACGTGACTGACTCCGCCCGAAATAAACCAACACGAGCGGCGTCGAAATCGAAAGGTGGTGCACAGGAGCAAGCACCTAAGCGGTCACCGAGGAGAAAATCTAAATCAGGTCAGTCTGAACCAGAAACGCCCACGAAGACCAGAACGAAACAGAAAAATTCAAGTTCAGAATATGGTGAAATGCCAGTGCTAGAACCTCAGGTCACAAATGCAAGTAGCACTGTGTCAAATTTTCCAAGTTTACCAAGTACTTTGTCTTTGACTCTACCCAGTTTGAACATTCCATCACTGGGCACACTGCCAACACTAGGGAGCATACCGATATTTCACCCCGATACTAACAGTGGGGGGGACAAGACAAAACACGACAACAAGTCATTGCCTTTCAAGAAGAGGAGGCTGATTAACAATGACCACAGTGAAGATAGCGAAGACCAAGAGAGTAAAACGGAGGTTGCTCCAACTCAAGGTTACTATCAACAAATTATTTTGTATGCCTTAATTCTAAATCGTAAATCCTTGAATAAGTACAAAAGATGTTTTGCAATGTCCTGACATCTACCAGTAACAAATATTTTCAAATTTCTTTTCGATAAAGTTTTAAGCAATTAGACATGATGTATATTTAAGGCAACAATATATTTCTTCTGAGTTTTCAGTTGACCCATACTTATTCAAGGATTTATTGGATGCACAAAATTATTATTTCACAATTTGTTGGAACTTTTTATATTCTAGGGAGCAGTGTATCACATTCATCTTAATGTGGGCGGTGGGGTAGCCTAGTGGTTAAAGCGTTGGCTCGTCACGCCGAAGACCCAGGTTCGAAACCCCACATGGGTACAATGTGTGAAGCCCATTTCTGGTGTTCCCCGCCGTGATGTTGCTGGAATATTGCTTAAAGCGGCGTGAAACCAAACTCAGTCGGTCAGTCAGTCATCTTAATGTTTGGAATAACTCTAGCTGGCAAATAAGCCTACATTTCTGATACTAAAAACATGAGCATCCATTCACGCATTAGAATCACACAATGCCCTCTGAAGTATTTAGCTGGCATGAGGCACAAGACCCCTGGAGATTTGGCCACAAATTAATCTATATCTACTCAGTAGATATCAAGGTCACATACCATAACAAGACTGAAACTATGGTCAGGTGCGATCTGTCCTTTGCTTAACTTAGTTTACAGTGATGATCAGATTTTGTGAATGGTGACCAAGAGTACAGCCCCTGCACATCAAACATGAATATTACATGGAAGACGTGGTACAGCAGGGCGTTGGGGTAGCCTTGTGGTTAAAGCGTTCGCTCCTCACACCGAAGCCCCAGGTTCATCTCCTCACATGGGTACAATGTGTGAAGCCATCTTAGCGTACCCTAACACCTTTGTCCTTACTCATTATATCAATCATTGAACATGGTTTTTTGTGGTTCATATTCAAAACATTAAAGTTAGCCGTGGTGACTATATCTGGTATTTCCTGAATGCAGTTTTCAGCAAAACAAAGTCCAAATAAATTAGGATTTCAGAGAGGATTATTTGTGCAGACTATTTAATGCATAAACATATTACGAGAATTCTGGGTTACTTCCAAGTATGGATGAACATTTTAAAAAATGCAGTCATATTATATTGTTCTACCTTGTTTATTTTAACCTAGTGTTGTCGTTTCAGCTTGTTTACTTTTTAGTGCTGGAGCTATTGATCCAATAATCGGTCCATCAATCAGTCTCTCTTGCGTCAGTGATTATCAATGAACTCTGGAGCTTAATCAATATTCATAATAAAGTCAAATTTCATTTTTAACTTTAGAAAGTATGTTTCTAATTGTCATGTTTGTTGAATTCAGACATAAACAACTGATAGTAGTGATACAAACAACAATGTAAGCATCTTGCATGTGTGTCACAACAGGAAGTATTGTCAATCATCTTGATCGTAGTATTAATTGGTGCCTGTTTCGGTATTTGCTTCGTATTCTGATTGTGTCTCATTATTCCTACATGTGGTGGGGTTAAAGATTATAATCGATTATTGATTGATAACTGAGCTCTGATTATCGATCTACATTTTGTGAGTGATAGCCAACACTTGTAATTTTCTTTCCTTGTGATCTCTGTTTACCAAATGAATGTTGGCATCATACACTTGACTGCTGGGAATAAAGCACCAATCACCAAATATTTGGCTATCGATAGAGATCAATAATCAATTATTAAATATCAATTGATCATCAGTGTACATCAGCATTGCCAAATATTTGGCTATCAATAGAGATCAATAATCAATTATTAAATAGCAATTGATTATCAATGTATATCAGAGAAGAGACAAGCAAAAATTTGAAAAAGTCCCAAAGAAATCAACATGTTTAGAGTCAATAGAGAGTTGTGAGACATTTATGCATGTTCAACTAAAAAAACATGATTTAGAAGCGTCCCATGAATAAATACAGAACTTTGTGCATTTGTAAATAAATTAAAATTATATCAGGGTTTTACCTTGACCAACAAAATCAGGGGCACCAGGACCCCTACTTAAAGGTCACATGCAACCAAAAAATCAAACATAATTAAAACACAATTATCACTTATTCATGACATATAATATACATTGCTGGTTACGAAAAAATATATAAACAAAATTATAAGCGTACAATCGCAAATCGAAAGTGCAAAATTGTGTACTCCGGTTTACTTCCCAAGAAACGAAGCAGCCGGGATACCGAACCCAGTCAGAGCGGGTGGGTGTGCACTCAAGTGTGACGGCTGGTTCATTTGCAGATGCCTTCACGGCTAATTGTGTGTATATATATAGAGAGATGTTGGGTTTTGTAAATACATGCTCATTTTTTGTGTATAACATTTTGCAATCAACAGACATCTTAACATGTCATGTGTTCAAGTATCACACCTGCCTGTCTGTGTAATTACATAATGTGACAGAGACCGAACTCGGGCCATAAATCAATGCATTTTGTTTATGGTGTATAGCCTGATTGGTGTTAAGTTCAAATTGCATGTGGTCAGTGATAGCAGCTGTGTATTGAATATTGTCATTAGCAGACAGGCAGGCAGACACACAGGTGTCAATAAAACTAGACATTGAGTTTTGTCTGTGACAACGACATATCTATATCACAGGTAGAAATTCTGTCAACGCTAAATAATGACATTGCTTTTAAGTATCGAACTGAGAAAGTGTCTCGGTAAGAAGAACGTGTGGTGAAATAGACAAATGAAATTATATAAACAGTTAATTTACTGTCATAACATATAAAAAGCTCTCGCCTGTGAGATATCAACAAAACATTAGAAAAATAGCTCACACCAAAGCCTTCACCAAGTATTCACCCGACAACCGCTTCCAAGCTGCGCGAACCTATTTACTTGCGCACGTGCTATGAGCGCAGCCCAGCTGTTGAAACCCGTTTTCCCCAGAAAAGTCTGGGGAAAATTAGTGAAACGTTTGAACTCCGATTTCCCGCGTTTTTTTTCATCGCGTTATTTTTCAACTTTATAAGTTGAATTTGCATTTTTGACGATTTGTTTCGGTCTGTCCATACCGAAAGGTATCAGAATCTGCAAAGTTGTGTTTTACGTTGCATGTGACCTTTAATAATTTCAAGGGTCAGTACGTGAAATACGAGGCTCCTGTAAAGTAATGAAACGATTAGCAGACTGTACCGCAAGGTTCAATGATCACTTTAATTACAAGAACTTCATCCCAGGGGACATTGTATATGTACTTTCCTGGGTCCATTCTATACATTTGTGTGCATTGGACGCACATTTTTGCGTTGCGTAAACCCCTGCTATATGTCCTCACAACAGTGTATATTATTGATGACACAATTTTTATATCAATAAGCATTAATAAATTTACCAGTTGATAACATTTCTGATGATCGATCTTTTAAGCCAGGCTTAAATTGCCTTGTCGTGCTCTGTGTAATTCAGAAATCTTACCTGTTAACTGTGAGGTTATGTAACATGAACATGATGAAGAGATGCAGCCAAATACCATCTGAAAGAGAAACTTGCACAGAATAATTTTTATTTAAATGTCTATTCATTAATTTCAAATACCCAATAACAGAGGCCCAGATAAGCTGCGTATCCTGGTAAAATACGCATAAAAAAATTCCAATTACGCATTGAAAAATAATTGTTGCGTACCAATTACGCATTTAAAATGTTAGATACGCAAAAAGTTTAAAACAAATGCGTACGGAATATATTTATAAAAATCGCTTGCGTAATGGAAAAGACATCGATTGCTATCAAGTTGTACTGTTAGTATAGGACTAGTGTTGTACTGTCAGTATAGGATGACTGATTTTTTATGAAATCATTTCCATTATATTTAAGTTGGTTTGATTAGGTATGACATAAGGCAGAACATACCTGCTTAGTAAACTTACTCAATGACATATACTTAGGTGAGTAAAATGACTGAAATACGTGAAATATGTGAAATACGCACATATTTGAAAGCGGTAGGTAACGGAAAATGAAATACCCACTCAAAATTCATAATACCCACTCCCCAAAAATACAGTGGGTACAGTACCCACGTGAGCTAAATCTTATCTGGAGCTCTGCAATAAATTGGAATCATGAACGATATAATGTATTGAATTACCTGACAGAAAAATATGAAATGCCTCTTTGAATTGCATATGAACAAACAGTTACTCAAAATGTGAAGAGTGAATGAGTGAGTTGGGTTTATTGCTGCATCTAACACTATTTGGGGCAGTGGGGGGTGGCCAAGTGGTTAAAGCGTTCGCTTATCACGCCGAAGACTCTGGTTCGGTTCCCCACATGGGTACAATGTGTGAAGCCCATTTCTGGTGTCCTTCGCTGTGATATTGCTGGAATATTGCTTAAAGCTGTGTAAAACTAAACTCACTCATTCTAATACTGTTCCAATCACACTGAAACCTCGTAAGAGATGACTAACGGGATCGGGTGGTCAGGCATGCTTGACACATGTCATCGGTTCCTAATTCTGCAGATCGGTGCTCATGCTGTTGATCACCGGATTGTATGGTCCAGACTCTATTATTTACAGACCGCCGCCATATAGCTGGAATATTGCTAAGTGTGGCATAAAACTAAACTCACTCACGCACTCATATTGCAACCTAAATTTAACAAGACCTGTAATGCTGATTGAGCATCATGCTTCAAGGATGGTACACAAACTGCTCAGAATTTTTTTAATGGTGCCACCTTTAAAAGCAAGAAGAGCTAGCATACTCTTTATAATATATTTTTAGCAAAATATTTCTTGGGCCAATTTCTATTGTATGTAACCAGTAGTAAATATTTCACTCAACTAAGTTTGACAAAAAGCGCAAGGAAAATGTTACATATGAACATTTTAATGTACACTAGTAAACAGTGTTTCCGGGTGTTTACAAACTTAAGTTTGGGATTCAGAAATATAAAGAGATCTTTAAGTCTCGATCAAAGGGAAGGTGTGGAATTTACAGTTTCATATTACACGTATCTAGCATTTGTGAAACAACATTTGCAGAGTTTGAATGGATGGGTTTTTTCTATTCAATATCTGGGTTAAAATTAATCTCAAGGAATCTATGTGTTTTATGAGAGGTGACTGTTTTTATTTGGTGGTCACACTTCCTAAGACTCGTGAAGATCCGGGTTAGAATATTGATCTTCTGTAACCCATGCTTGTCGTAAGAGGCAACTAACGGGATCATGTGGTCAGGCTCAGTGACTGGGTTGACACATGTCATCGGTTCCCAATTGCGTAGATCGATGTACATGCTGTCGATCACTGGATTGTCTGGTCCGGACTTGATTATTAACAGACCACCGCCATATAGCTGGAATATTGCTGAGTGCAGCATAAAACTAAACTCACTCAATCACTAATCACTCACTCACTCACTCACTCATACTTCCTAAGTGGGTTGCTGTATGTCATGCTCATATTTTGATGTTCATGATATCTGTTACGTGATCAGCTGTCTGGTTCGGTCTTGATTATTCGTAGATACATGTCATACTGCTGGAATATCGCTTTGCATGGCGTTAAACAAAAGACAATGAATCAGTTATCCATGTTGAAATGGGGCGGTGACATGTCTGAAGGAGTTCTCCATAGTACACTACAAAAAGTTATTCAAACTTTGCTTTAATAGAGAATGAGTGGTCAGACTGTGCGATTTGGACTTTCTAATTTAGGAGATTGTTATCAAAGTTCCAGTTTCATTTCCTGGTCTAGATTGTTTATAGATTATTTCTGACTGAAGAAATATACACTCACTCGCTCATTCGCTCATTCACTCACCCACTCACTCACTCACACTCACTCACTCACTCACTCACTCACTCACTCACTCACTCACTCACTCACTCACTCACTCACTCACTCACTCCACTCACTCACTCACTCACTCACTCACTCACTCACACACTCACACACACACACTCAACCACTCAACCACTCTTTCACTGACACAGTGGGTCAACCACTCAATCTCTCAACCACTCACTCACTCACTCAATCAATCAATCAATCACTCAACCACTCAACCACTCTTTCACTGACACACACAGTGGGTCAACCACTCAACCATTCGATCAACCACTCACCCTTTCACTCACCTTTTCACTACAATTCCACACATCTTTACAATTTCCTTGAAGCATATTCACATAAATTACAATTTTCAACACAGGTAATTATTTCAGTCATTTGTGTAACATCCTCCAATATCCTCCCCCATGTCAGATTGTCCGGCTCTGATTGGTTCACTTGATCTTGAGAAAATACCATACATCCTGCTAGATGGAAAACACATTGGGGGAGAAAAAATCCCTCTAACCAGAAAAAAACCAAATACAGGAATCCCATGGTTTCAATGGCATGACAATAAATTCCCTCATCCCCTCAATGAAGCAAAAATTTAAAGATATATGTTTTATAAAGTCATTGAAAGTCAGATGACACAGCTCAAGCTAAGCCTAATTCCAACGAACAGCTGTTTATATCACTTTAATATGTTTTGTATCAATGAAAAAATCCCTCTAACCAGGCAACGAAAAAAACAGGAAATCTATTGTTTTAATGACAGGACAATAAATCCCTTGAACCCCACTATAAAACAAAAAGCTGCATTTTTTTAAACATTTAATGAAAATTAATCTCAAGTCAAATGAACTACTGATTTTTATCTGTTTTGATATATTTTGTATCAATGTAAACCTATTGCTTCAATAAATTTATCTTGCAAACATATTTCTATGTACCATTCTAAAAGAAGTTTAAATATTGAAAACTGACAGAAATCTGCTGTTTGATTGAGATGAGGTTAGGTCAGGCTGTGTAATGGTGTTCCGATGATCGAAAATAATTGAAAATCAATCGAAAGAAGGATTAAAAATAATTATCGATTGTAAAACTACATGTTTTCAATTAATCGGAATTTTGTTGTTTTAGTATAAAACACTTGAATGAAGTAAACTAACCATTAAATTTGATGAATATTCACGAACAAACATGCGCTCAACAGCATAAAGCTATGCACACTGTAAAATTTTAACCACTTTTATTATTTAATTACAATTCCAGTGTCTTTCTTGCATGCGTGCATTTTATTGCATGATAGTATTAATTATAAAAAAACATCATGTAGAGAAAAACCTGTGGAAAACCCTAAAATTGGTCATTACATTAAAAATGTATATATATTTCGATTATAATCGGGGCGGTGGGGTAGCCTAATGGTTAAAGCGTTGGCTCGTCACGCCGAAGACCCGGGTTCGAATCCCCACATGGGCACAATGTGTGAAGCCCATTTCTGGTGTCCCCCGCCGTGATGTTGCTGGAATATTGCTAAAAGCGGCGTAAAACCAAACTCAGTCAGTCAGTCGATTATAATCGATAATCGTTCACCACAAGTCCTCCGATAATCGATAGTGGATTTCGTTTCCGATTCCCAACACCAGTCCTGTGTTTCATATGAGTTTCACTGACTGTGACCCGTGAAGATCCGGGTTACAATTGGTCTTCAGTGACCCATTCTTGTCGTAAGGGGTGACTAATGGGATCGGGTGGTCAGGCTCGCTGACTGGGTTGACACATGTCATCGTATCCCAATTGTGTAGATCAATGCTCGTGCTGTTGATCACCGATTATTTACAGAGTGCGGCGTAAAACTAAATTCACTCACCCATTGACTGTACAATCCGACGTATGCCCCTTGTTAATCTGCCCAGCTTTCTCACACAGTCATTCAGCACTCAAGGAACAAGCATGTACGTTTTATATTAATGAGTCAGAATGAATTTCCTCATGGCCACTGTTGACGTGAGAATGTTTATGACTTCATTGATTGAATTTAAACATGAAAGATTTCCAGAAAATCAATAATATATATCTCATCATAAACCTGTAAGAATCTGCAACTTGGAATCTTAAGATTATCAGATTATCATGTAAGCCTTACATATTTTATTGTAATTGCATGGGTGAAATGAAAAACCCTCCTAGTTCACACCATAATTGAACAATTGACACACAATACAGAAAAATAATGGATTGTGTCTTGATTAGACTACAGGATTTTTAATATTTATGTATTTGCCATTTCCTTAGAAAATAACATGAAAATTCATCTTCCAGAATGTTCAGCTACAAATGAATGAAAAATAAGCTCAAAGTTAACAGCTTAAGTATGAATTGTTTCTTGATTTGAAAACAGATTTTCATGCAAATATATTCACCAGTTTTCACGAACATAAAGACATCCCAGCTTCCATAATGTTCAGCTACAAAAGAATGAAAAATATGCGCATAGTTCACAGGTGAATGGAATGTTTAGACACCGAAAGATAAGAACTGTTTCTTGAATTGAATACAGAGTTTCATGCAAATACAGCTTAATTGAATGTCTTGATAGTGAGAGATTATGAATTGTTTCTTGATTTGAATACAGATATTTATATATTTTATTCCCCATTTCTTAAAAAAACACAACAACATGAAAATTCAGCTTCCAGAATGTTCAACTACAAGTGAATGAAAAATATGCTCATAGTTGACAGTTTAATGGAATGTTGCCAAACGAAAGATAAAGAATATTTTCTTGATTTCAGTACAGATATTAGTAATTTTTATTCACCATTTCTTAAGAACAGCAGTGATAAAGTCTCATGCTTTTACTCATTTCAAAGCATTGCCTCTCCCTTCCCCTTTCCTCAAATTGTCAAAAGTCTATATATTTTTTCTAAGTATTTCTTTTTGTCAGGCGGTCTTGTAAACAACTCGAAATGTACATAAAACCTTGCTGATATAACCATACTTATGAAGAATTTATGAGATAAATCTGGTTAATATTTTACATGTTGATGATCAGAATATTTTTTGTAAAAAAGTACAATATATCTCCCAAGATGAAGGCATTTGCTTGTTATACTGAGGGTCCAGGTTTGATTCCCCTCTGGGGAACAGTGTATGTTAAGCCTAGTTCTGCCATTGCTTGAATACTGATAAAACTGATGTAAAACAAACTCATTCACTCCTATATCCCAAACAATCCAACAAATATGAGTTTCTAATTTTGCTGTTTGAAAGCACAAAATAGAGTGATGACTGTCTATAAAGAGACGTGTCAAAGCTGTATTAATATTTGTGAATAAATCTTGGAAGGTCAGCTGATGGATGTCCCATACATGTTCTGATCTCACATTCTCTGACAATATTCTAACTCACTTCTCAAGAATGTTTAGGTCATATTTGATAAGTCACGGGCAGTTTCAGTCCCATTACTTCCTGAATTTATTAAATCGTGTTTCATACAAGCATATTCAATAATCATCTTTTTAATAATATATATCAGTGTGTATGATAGCGTTTCAGTTTCTATAGTAACACATGAAAACAGCTGTAAACAGTCATCTCGTGACACCTTGATGTGTTAATCTATAGACCCGCGCTGACCAGTCGGTTGGGCCCAACTGACTTGAAACAGGAAGCTGGCTGCATAGCCCACAAGGGGAATCCCGACATGAGATACACTGAGCTGTGTTTTCTAAGCGTGTAGGTTGACGAGGTATTTAGTAAACAAATTACAGAAATAAATTCACGTGTTACAAAGTGGAAGTAAGAACAGCGTCCTCTTTAGAAGAGTGGGCTATGCGGATGACTGGTTCCACTGAAATGTACGAGTCGTTCATTGCAGTGGGAATGTAGGTCAGCGTTATTGATTACGCAATACAAGCCTGTGATACTGAATCACCAGGTGACTCTCTCCTTTTATATAAATAGACGAATGAATTCCCAAATATGAATTCTGGCTGTTATGATTCCTAGTTTTAAATTAGAAACAATTCCCCACTGCAAATGAAACTAGAAAACATGTGTATCCTTCACACAGAAAGCCATGGTCAAGCATACATTGCGACAGCCATGGAACCTCCTGACCCAAGAGATAAATTTTATCAGCTCTTAGAAATTGATAAATCTAAAGCAGGCAAAAACCATCAAGAAAAGAGGTATATTGACAAGGAATTGTACGATAAAACTATTCAAGCTGTTGAATCTCGAAAATATGAGCGCTGTCCGACAGGTGATGCCCATTTTAAAGACTGGGCTAAGGGATTTTCAGTTAAGTCTGGATTAGATGGTGTCAAAGTTCTTTTGTCGAATCCGGACAAATTGATAGAAAAACGAAGAAAGCAAGAGATCCAGCGAAGAAATAGACAAAGAAGAAGAACGGAAAGTGAACAAGAGGAAGAAGATCTCGATAATGGGAGGAAGAGGCCCAAGAAGGAGACGAAGGAGCTGCCAGTTCTCATCAAAGAAAACTATTTTGACGAGATTTTCAAATGTCACCAGGAGGCCAAGCATAGTAAAGAGGGGACATGGAGGCTGGTAAGTCACATTACATATTTGTACATTGTATTAATAATAATGATGTTTACTTGAGTGTGGGTTTGAATCCTGGCTGTAGCTCTACTTAAAAAGATACTAAACTGTAAAGAAACGTTTCATTTTAGGCCAGACCAATTTTATTTCTTGTTTTACGGATCCATCGGTCGTATATTTTTTCAAGAATAAGAAAAGAAAAAAAATTAATTGAGTGTGGGTTTGTGAATCCTGGCTGATGCACGATCTCCCCAAAACTACTTTCAGGAAAGCAGTATATATTTTTTCACAAACATATTTACCGGTAGATTATGATTAATTTTAGCTTAGGTTTTAATTATTGATGCAACTCCATCCCAAATAGTACTTTAGTGGAAAGAGCATTTCATGTTCATAAATATATTAAAAATTGTGCTATAAAGATAATAACCTGGTTTGTGGGTTTGAATCCAGGACGAGACCACACCCAAAATTGTATGAGAATATGCACTCCACTGAAATAGTTTAATTCCAAATAAACATAAATTACGCCTTTAACCTCTTTCTAAAACTTTGTTAAAGGCATGGACTATTTATCATGTTTATATGCCAGCTGAACTGTGTTAATTTCAAACAGCTGCTTAAAGTTAAAATATATTATTGCACTTTAACAAGAATGATTTTAGCAGGGGCGGATACAGCAGGGGTGTGCACAGTTCATTTTCACGTGTTTTCATGAGAGTTTCAATGGTCATATAATAAACTTTCAGGACAAAAGGAGGGGTGCGCACCCCTGCAATCCCCTCTGGATCCGCCAGTGTTTTATCATTTTTATCTTTCAAGGATATACAAAAATGATTCTCATAGTATGTAGAGTGTGTTTTTAAACCGAATGATGTACCTGATCCATATAAAGTACTATCCTAACTACTTAAGGAAACAGAGAACAAGTTAGTTTAAATTTCCTTAAATGTACAATTAAAAGATAACATTATTCCGTTTAGTAGTTTGCAATATTGTGAAGTGATTTGTTAATCTGGAAACTATGCAAGTGTGGGATTGGTATTTCCTTTATACGCCTTTAATTGGCTAAAGCAGTATACATATTGCTGTGACTAAATACACCCATGTCCTGTTTGTTCAAACTTCTCTCTGTTCACCCTGCAGAAAATGGGTACCCGGTGGGATTAGTCATGTGACTATTAACCTTCTAGCACCTCACAGACAGCTTGGGTTACACAGGGTAATGATAATCAGATTGTAGTGCTTTGAGTGTGCCCTTCTGTGGTGTGGAATTCAGCGCATTACAAATGCCCTTATTATATTAATATCTAACTTTGGATGCCCCATGTTTTTGCCATGCTTGCCGTAAGGGTACATATTGTAATATTTCGGGGGTATCTTGTTGATGACATATCCTATAACTTGACCCAGTATTTTATATACAATGTGTGAAGCCCATTTCTGGTGTACCCCGCTGTGATGTTGCTGGAATATTGCTAAAAGCGGCGTAAAACCAAACTCAGTCAGTCAGTCAGTATTTTATGTGCCTTTAATGACTGGATGGACAGGGGAGCCTTCACTCGTCATCTGCCCTTGTGTTCCTCTGTGCTTGGTGTTACAGAGAGGAACATTTACATGCAAATAAATTCAAAATATGTTTTAGCAAATATTTCATGTAATATAATACAAAACTAGAGTTTGATAAGACTAATAAGAATTTGATTAGAGATTTCAATATGCCTACAAATTTTTTAGCTTGACCAAGGTAATATTCTTGTAAAACACACAGTTAAGTATGTATAAAGTGAAACAGCTTCTTCAGGTTTCTTACAGACCGCCGCCATATAGCTGGAATGTTGCTGAGTGCAGCGTAAAACTAAACTCACTCACTCACCCTTCAGGTTTCATTTTTCTTTTCTGGATAATGTTAGAACACATTTTAAAAAATAATTACAACTTTGAATTTATCCATATTTACAATAAGGTTGTTAGAGATATATTTGCAAGCCTGATGATGTATAGTAATTCATTTATGATTAATATAGCATGATGCTCATGATGTCAGTCACTGGATTGTCTGGTCCATACTCAATTATTTACAGACCGCCGTCATGTAGCTGGAAACTTGTAAACAGTGCAGCATGAAACAACAACAACAACAAAAGAAAAAGAAAAAATATCATTTAGAAGGGGACTTATTATACACCCTGATGTTTATGATATTTCTGATGCTATAGGTTCCATTGAGGGGAGATGTAGTAGTTAAAGGGTTCACATGTGTCACAGAAGATATAACCCCGGGTTAGAATTAATCTTCAGTAACCAATGCTTTTCTTAAGAGGCGACTAACAGGATCGGGTGGTCAGGCCCGCTGACTTGGTTGACAGTGACACATGTCATCGGTTCCCAATTGCACAGATCGATGCTCATGCTGATGATCACTGGATTGTCTGGTCCAGACTTAATTATTTACAGACTGCTGCCATATAGCTGGAATATTGCTGAGTGCAGCATAAAACTACACTCACTCACTCACTCACTCACTCACTCACTCACTCACTCACTCACTCACTCACTCACTCACTCACTCACTCACTCACTCACTCACTCACTCACTCACTCACTCACTCACTCATAGAAGATATATGTTCGATGATGCAATCTGAATGTATTTTGTTTCAGGTGAAGGACCGTTGGTGTATGGTGACAAAGCAGATAATAACCCGATTCTGCCAGACATGCCTGACCTGCAACATCACCCAGAAGAAGAGGACTTTCCAGGATCCCTCTACCTCAGACTGCTCTGCAGCAAAGAGAGCATGTGCGCCCACTGTCGCCGATACTGAGGCGTCATGGTCAAGTTTCAGTTCATCTCAGACTGATGAAACTCTGCCGGTGATTTCACCCGAGGTCATTTCAGGCTGGAACCAGTACACACCAAGGACATCTGAGGTCTTGCCAGAATTTCTGGAAACCTTCACTGGCCATTCTCAGAACTTACCATCTGATTTACAGAGAGTGGATCTGCAGACTCTGGACTCAATGTCAGCTACTTCAAGTTCCTTTGGACACCCAAGCTTGTCAGCTCCATCTTTCTCAGTCAGTCCCAGTTACAGAGATACAAGAGGCACACAGATGCATCAGCGGGTTTCCTGCTCAAGCGTTGATTCATCAGGTTCCTCATCATCCTTTTATCACCAAGAAACACATGGGTTTCTTGTCCAGAATTCACCAATACCCTCCTCAATGATTCAGACTACAGCCAATCCGAATCTGACACGGAGTAGATCACAAGGAACGAAAACATCCCAGGGACTTTCAACACATTTTGGACAACTTGAGACATGTGAATCCACAGTTCGTAATCCAGTAGAATCCACAAATGTAGGATTTTCAAGTCCTCTCATGACAGCAGTGCCAGGTCTGGGAAGGGATGCTAATGTCAGATCACACGTACCCACTCTGACATTTCCATCTGAGGCAGAATCCATGGTATTATTAGCCTCCAGTCCAACATTGACCGCTTCTTCATCAATGACTCAGAGATGGGTAGCCAGTATCCAGTCAGATATGACCGACATGTCCACAGCTGCACTTCCTCTTCAAGGTGAAATGAGATCCAGAGAGTTGATGCAACTGGTTGACAGTTCCTCCTTGTCCTCATCCTCATGTCAGAGACTCGATCCACCCACTCCGCACACGATGGGCATGTCAACAATGATTCTTCCTTCTCAAGACAAAAACGCATCTAAGGAATTGATTCCCACCGGCCCTGTTATGAGAGCAACCTCTACAGAGACTCAGGGTTGGGTGGATCCAACTCAAACACAAACTGCCCTTATACCACAAATACCTCAAACAGGAGCCATGTCTCACAGACTACCCAATGCCACCATGCCTCAAGCCTTTACATCAGCTCCAGGACCCGGTGTCCTTATACCACAAATGCCTCACACAAGAGCCATGTCTCACAGACTACCCAATGCCACCATACCTCAAGCCTTTACATCAGCTCCAGGACCCGAAGTCTATTCACTGCAAGAGGAAGATGGTCAGACTATCCCCAGCGTAGGCCAGACTCTCAGTAAGTCAGCTGTGTTCAACAACTCAAGCACACCACCCTCAACATCTTCCCAATCTAGTTTGGGCTCATATCCGACTCAGACTGGGATAGATGTCATCTCAAGGTCTGAGAGTCCAAAGACCCATGAGGGTCAAGCACCATCTTATGGGATGGATCACTGGAATTTTCCCCTCAGTTCTTATCTGCCCCCCTTCGAATCCCCTTCTGCATTCGCCACCCCATTCACTCACCATCAGGTCCAGACATTCCACACATTGACTGTGCCATCTAATGTTAGTTCCGATCATGCATATATTTCTATGTTTAATCAACCCAGACCAGGTTTGATGTCACTTGCATCGAGACCTGCTCATATGTCAGATCAATCCTTGTTACACTTTTACGGACAGCGTCAAATGTCCAACAATCCCAGACCTGGTCAGGTGTCAAAATCTCCTAGACAAGGTCAAATATTCAAATCCTCCAGAAAGGGGCAAATTTCAAACTCACCCCAGCCCAGTCCAATGTCACACTGCCACAGACAAGGTCAAATATCAGACTCTATAGCTACTCTAAACACTCATAAACTTCCCCTAAAGCAAATATTTGTCCAAAACAAGCACATTTTCCTTCATATAGCCATTCCCAGGCATCATCTCAGGAGACATACAAACTCCCTGTGTTTGGCACTGAAGAAATGTATTTCCCATTTCATCCGACCAGAGAATTTGGTCTTGGAGTCTCAGGGATTTCAACCTTAGATGATGCCAACAGCCAGCAGACACCTGCGATAGGTCGAAGAATCCCCTCAGAACAGGATCTCATTACTTTAAAGGACTTAGTTCCAAGCTGCCAAAGCCAGGGCAGGTCTGCAGAATGTGATGTCCTCACTTCAAGGAACTTTGTTCCAAGCTGCCAAAGCCAGGGCAGGTCTGCAGAATGTGATGTTCTCACTTCAAGGAACTTTGTTCCAAGCTGCCAAAGCCAGGGCAGGTCTGCAGAATGTGATGTCCTCACTTCAAGGAACTTTGTTCCAAGCTGCCAAAGCCAGGGCAGGTATGCAGAATGTGATGTCCTCACTTCAAGGAACTTTGTTCCAAGCTGCCAAAGCCAGGGCAGGTCTGCAGAATGTGATGTCCTCACTTCAAGGAACTTAGCTCCAAATAACCAACGTCAGAGCAGGTCAGCAGAAAGTGATGTTCTTGCACAAAGCATCTCTGCAGTTGACCATCCTGCATTACCAAATGTCCTTCCTAAGAAGAGCTCAGCAGAGCATGATGTCCCTAAAAATTATTGCTCTCCTCAAAGTCATATTCTTCCTGAGATGACATTAGCAGAACAGCGAACCAGGCCAGAAAGTGATGTGTTTACCCAAATGAGTTACACAGAGCTGACCCAGAGCATGGATGAGCCGGATCTTCTACTGCAGTGGATACTGGAACATGCTCCTGGACTCCCTGGGGATCATAACACCCTTGGACTCCCTGGGGATCATGGCACACCTGGATTCCCTGGGGATCATAAGACACCGGGTATCCCAGGGGATCATAACATCCCTGGACTCGATGGGGATCATAACACCCTTGGACTCCCTGCTGATCATGGCACACCTGGATTCCCTGGGGATCATAAGACACCGGTATCCCAGGGGATCATAACACCCTTGGACTCCCTGGGGATCATAGCAAAGGGATTGTTAGCTTAAAAGAATCATTTTCCATGGAGGGAGTGATAGACGAAGGTCAAAACCGTCAACTTAGATCGGGCTATGAAGCGTTTGTGTTGCCTGTTGATGGAAGTGATGGATGTAGACAAGGTATTGAGCTGAGTGATGTTGTTCATGGTAGATGTGACATGAGGCCACTGCAGAGTGCAGGAGTTGAGTGTGGATCCATAACTAGTCACCTTCTGACTGATGCGCTGTCATCTGTTGCCCAGAGAGTGTCACCATCTGTCGGACAAACAGTGTTGCCATCACTTGCTCAGAGTGTGTCACCAGCGATTGGTCAAACTCTGCTGCCATATGTTGGTCAAAGTGTGTTGCAGTCAATTGGTCAAACTGTGTCACCATATGTTGGTCAAAGCGAGTCGCCATCGGTTGGTCAAACTGTGTCACCATATGCTGGTCAAAGTGGAGTCGCCATCGGTTGGTCAAACTGTGTCGCGATATGGTAGTCAAAGCGAGTCACCATCGGTTGGTCAAAATGTGCCACCAAATCATGGTCAAAGTGAGTCGCCATCGGTTGGTCAAACTGTGCCACCAAATCATGGTCAAAGTGTGTCACGATTGGTTGGTCAAAGTCTGTCACCCTCTGATAGTCAAGTGAATCTGATGAAAAGAAAAACTTCAGATTGAATTTCTGGTCCACTCAATTACGTTTCTGCATTTGTCACTGCCTTACCCAAACCCATACTTATCATCCAAATGGTAAAGTCTGAGACCTGCATAATTACAGAATCTCATCCCACATATAATTGGAATACTGTTCATAGATAATGTAATTTATTTAAAAAATAAATATTTAAAAATGTCCAGATTTTGGACATGTTGGACACAACAAAGTGTATGGTGCTTGCCAGTTTACCAATCTCAGATATTGAGTTCAAAATCAGAGATAAATCCCTGAAAATGACTGAAAATGTGATAGACATCCTTATATAATATTTATTGTGTATTTGAATTCCTCAGAATAGTGACTGCATAGAATGTAGAACATTCAGGACTTGGAAATAAAATCTAGGCACATTAACTAAAAATAGATAAAAAAAACAAAGTGTGACTAGTCTCCCTGAAAATCTAATTGTACGGAGATTTGGAAATGTTAAATTAGAGTGAGTATGGTTTTACGCTGCTTTTAGCAATATTCCTGCAATATCATGGCAGGGGACACCAGAAATGGGCTTCAGAAAAAATTGTACCCATGTAGGGAAGCGAACCCGGGCCTTCAGCGTGACGAGCGAACGCATTAACCACTAGGCTATCGGACTGCCCCTCTTAAATTCGGTATTTATGGCCTATTGGTGAGTTGTGACTCAGATGGGTTAATTTCTTAAATCCTTTGTATTACTGACAGAAAGAAATTTAAAAGACTCAGAATTCCATTGGTTTTTAACCTTGCATTTTAAATTGAAAATATAAAAGTGAAATATTTAGGAAGAAATTCCTCACACTATAACCAATAACATAATATTTAAATGACAGTGAAATAGAGAAGTACATTTAATTTCTTTTTGTCTGGTGGTCTGAAAGGTTAATTGAGTTGTGGGGTAGCCTATTGGTTAAAGCATTTGCTCGTCACGCCGAAGACCTGGGTTTGATTCCTCACATGAGTACAATGTGTGAAGCCCATTTCTGGTGACATTGCTGGAATATTGCTAAAACTCACTCAATGAAAGGTTAATTACTGTTAATTGTACTGAAGATGATCTCAAAATTAACCTGTCATCAGACTGATACACAGGGGTGGAAATAACCCATTGCCCGACGTCCGAGTCCAGTGTTTTTTTCTGTCGGGCAAGCAAATTTGTATATCACGCTGTACCGGTGTCCAGTTGACTTTCCAATGTTAATAATGTTATTTATTTTAAAAATCAACAAGAAAACGGCCGGTTTAGTGGAAAAATTATTAGGGCAAGTGATTTTACATGTGCCACTGTACCGGAGTACACTAGCAATTTTAAAGTTATTTCCACCCCTGATACAGTGTTGTGTAATGGTTGAGAATAATATGGCAAGTATATGATGAAAATGTTGCTATATTGGATTTATAATGAAGAGAGGAAATCCTTTGTATGTTTACTTCCTGACATGAATATAATCGTGTACTTCCTACATGGTTAGGTGGTATATATGAGTGATGATACTTCACCATATGGTTTCATCTAAATGGCTGGGGTTTTAATTTATTTAGTTTTTTTGAAACCCCTACCCCAGGTATTGTTCTGAAAAAAATTCTACACAGTTTTGAGATATATTTATTTATTTATTTATTTATTTATGTATTTATTTTTGAATGTTCATAAATGTCTGTTTTCCCTGATTATCTATATATTTAATATATATTTATATTTATGGTGAAATTTCCATTTGTTTGTTTATCACCTGAATTACATGCATGTTAGTTTGTTTGAACTTTTCTGTCTCAGCTCTGCATGATTGAATCTATTTGAAAGAAAATATTCAGATTGAATTCCTAACACACTGAATCATCATCATCATCATCATCATCATCATCATCATCACTGCTTAATTTGATAGCTTGAGACATCTAAATTATGCCGAAGACATGTAATTTTCAAAAGATTGTAGATTAATCACACCATCATCATCATCATCACAATCATCACTGTCCTTGAAATTCAGGCTACTTTGCTAGCTTGAAACAACTAAATTGTGCTGAAGACAAATAATAATCAAAGGATTGTAGTCCTGAATCATCATCATCATCATCATCATCATCATCATCATCATCATCATCATCATCATCATCATCATCATCATCATCATCATCATCATCATCAACATCATCAACAGTGTCTGTTTCATTTGCACAGTGTTACGGTTGTGTCCTGTTATTACCAGAACGAGTTTTGTGGTGTACTTCACAATTACAATCGATTATTGATCGGTTACTGAACACCAGCTATCGATTTCAATGTCAGCACTAGTAATTTGTGTGAAAACCTGTTATTCAGGTAGACCTAACATTTGAAATACAGGCCCCAGTTGCCTCTCCTAATCAGCTAAGTCCGTATATATAGATTCACTTACTGGTAAGAGCAGAACTGACATGAGTATCAAATTCCGAGAGTTATCTAGACTGAGTGAGTGAGTATGGTTTTACGCCACTTTTAACCACTAGGCTACCCCACCGCCCCAATTTAAAAAAAAAAAAATTCTAGAACTATCCTCAGGCAGATATTCAGCCCTGAGTCCGCTTTGACTGCATCTTGTATATATTGAGTCTTTAATTTATTTTGTATTGCCAGATGTTCAGTATTTATTTGATTGTTTATTTGATTGAGTTTTTAAAACTGCTTCGCTTTGGTTGTTTGTACAATTACAGATGTTTGTATGTTTGTTTTGAGTCAGGACACTCATGTTATTCCCTGAAAATGTAGGTTCATGTAATTTCTGGTTTCAATTCAATATTAATTATTTAATATAAACTTGTGATCTCATAAATGTCTGCATTGGTTTACCAGAATAATCCTGTTGCTAAGATTATTTTCTGTTTCTCATGACTTCGCTACATCTACTCCTAACTAATACGCCGGAGATCTTCATCAGCATTATTAAACTTAGCAATAAAACTTTTTGTGTTTTTTTTTCTCATTTTTCAAGATCATTAAGATGGCAGTTTGATGGACACAGTGTGATGTGACATGGTTTAAAACTCTGTATTAAACTCTGGTTAAAGCATTTGCTCGTCACACCAAAGACCTGGGTTTGATTCCTCACATGAGTACAATGTGTGAAGCCCATTTCTGGTGACATTGCTGGAATATTGCTAAAACTCACTCAATGAAAGGTTAATTACTGTTAATTGTAGTGAAGATGTTCTCAAACTTAACCTGTCATCAGAAACCTCAACAACGAAACCCTCATAAAACCCCATTACCTAATTTCAAGGTTGTTTCATGAAAAAGGAGGGTCCTGTAAGGTTATGAAATGTACTCTGCACTGTATAGGTTGATAATTATGTAGAGTACAGTAAAATTTATTTCTTGGTAAGAATTTGGTACAATGAATATTATTTATGTCTCTGAGGCAATTTATTCCTCTCTGCGTACAATATGTCTATTTTGTGTTGTCATTAACCCTGTGTTCCAAAGCCATAGTTGAAAATAACTTCATAGAACATACTGAAAAGCACACCACAAAACAATGTTTGTAACATAAAATACTTACTTTGTAAGTATTCACTGTGATGAATTGTCTTTGTCATAAATAAACAGGAAACGAATGAACACTGAAAAAGAGAAATGCACAGAAAAAGCCTTTGATTCAGAAAACACGGTATTATCGATTACAATATCAGGGAAAAATTCTAAATTACATTGGTGGTGGGGTAGCCTAGTGGTTAAAGCATTTGCTCGTCATGCCAAAGACGCCGGTTCGATTCCCCACATGGGTACAAAGTGTGAAGCCCATTTCTGGTGCCACACCCTCACCCCCACCCCACCCCACCCCCCGAAGTTGCTGGAATATTGCAAAGAGCTGCGTAAAATTAAACTCACTCGCTCTACATCTGCCCCATGGTGATATATGCAATCCCGTACCTTGTCGTGAAACTTTACAGGTGGCGGTTACGTCTTTCACAGGTGTGGAAAGCTGGTATTGAATAATAAATAGATAAATCATAATCACCAATGTACCAGGATCACCCAGAACCTCTTTGCTGCATAATGTATTTTAGTCTGTAAAACATAATAGATATTTGTGCTGTGCTACCGACCATTCATGCTCTAAGTGCTAGAATGTGCCACTGTATGAATCTGGGTTAGAATTGGTCTTCAGTAACGTATGCTCGCTGACGTGGTTGACACATTTCATCGTATCTTAATTGTGTAAAACGGTGCTCATGTTGTTGATCACTGGATTGCCAGGTC